AGAGAGAGAGAGAGAGAGAGCGACTCTCTACATATGGATCAGTAAGAGAGGAGATGTGTCTGACATTCTAATGTATGCTTGCAGATCCCTACCCCGGGATAGGGGTCGGGAGAATTGCTATGATCTTGATGAAAAAAAATAAAAATACACCATTTCTTGTGGAGTGGAGAGCGCCAGTGCACATGGGAATAACCAGGCCGCGGTCATCTCCTTGGGCTCAGGCTGCCCTCAGCACAATCCATCTGGAATTACCTCTCTGTGGTCTGCACCACACTCAGGGCTACAGGCACCGCCAGTCCTCCATCTCTCACAGTGCTGCGAGTGCATCTTGCACACACGGTAATTTCAGCCACATGGACTGTACCAAAGTGACTACAATGCTGCAGAATGTAAAGGTTAAAATGATTATCATATATGCAAGTAAGCCAAAAAAAAAACATGAGAAACCTTTTTTTGTAAGTATTATTATTATTCCATCGTCAGAAATTCAGACAACAGTTTTAAATAAAGACTTGTTGAAAGTACTAATGCCAAACAAAACTTGTACATCTTTCGAGATTGCAGATTAGCTCATTACCACAATACTGTTTTTAATCGATCTCATTACTCCAGAACGCTGCGGTTCCCGTTTCAAGCAAGGAAAAGAAAGTAACCCCGACGTATGTTTTAGGACTCAAACATTGCAATAGAAAGTTGATTGCGTTGAAGTGAAGATGGCGTGCGGGTGTTTGTTCCCTTTTTGGGAATTACATTATTGATTCTGGCTTTTGTGCACCTGTTGCCTATGTCTCTTGTTAGACTGCAAAGCAATCTTTTACAAGTGTTTTGTAGAACAACATCTTCCCGAAAAGAAAAAAAAAAGAAGCTGTGTGGACACATGCTGTATAAATGCCTGTGTGCTAGAAGTGTTTACCACTTGCCTCGAGTGTGTACGCCATTTGAAGCTATCATTGTTGTCAGTCCCGCTACTCAGGGCTCACTTAGTACTTTGACTGTCTGCTAAAATTGCGCTTCTAAAGGCCCTTTTGTGGCAGTAGAAAGTGCATATAATCAGATCCAACCCTGTAAATGTGTGTACTGAATCTGGCTTTTTACAAATTATAAAAGATCCCTTCAGGGTGGGGAAAGATTCAAAAAAAGGTCATGAAGAGGAGATATGTTGAGTTGAAGAGGAAAAGACTGCATGTGGTCTCAGCTGCAGCAAGGAAGCAGAATATATATATTTCTATTTACAAGGTGGCTCTTGTGCTCCACTGGAGCGACGGCTCTGATTTTTGACTCCTCAGTCGAGAGCAAACAGCTCTTAAAAGAGGCAGACTTGTTGTCGGGGAGGCGGGGGGGAGAAGAGCAGCAAAAAGGGGGTGAGGGGGGAGAGAGTCGGGTAACAAAGACCCGTCACATTCCCGACAAGCCCTTCAACCATATCACCGCGCCACATCACACGGAGAATAATGCATCATTCCTCTGGGAGGGCGGTCCTTATCTGCACACGCTGCCGCATGCTCGCACCTGAGGAGATACAAATTGGAGCCTCCTTGTGTGAAAAAAGAAAAGGTGAAATAGGGTGCAGGAAAAGTGTGGAGGGGTATGGATGATCGGGGGGTAGGAGGGGAGGGGTGGGTTGTTTTGCCAAATACCACCCAAAAACAATGCATGTTGTGTGCTTTGTGTCGGGTGGCGTACAGCAACACGTTGCAAACAAAACCTGGTTCAAAAGTATAAGAATGTGTCTCGTACGTGTATGTAATAGGTGTTAAGTTGTTTTTAACACAGACAATATGATAAAACGTATGAGGGCACAGAGTGTGAACACAGATAATAGCAGCTTCAGGATGTATAATCCTGCTACAAGTTAAATCATGAGACAAAAACAGAGAAATGCAAAAAGATGGACAAACAAACAGAACGATTCTGCGCGTCTAAACCGTGATCAGTAAGGCGCTGATAAACATCGTGTGCGCGGCTCGGGCTCATCTTATTTCCCACGGTGGAGATGACGCTTTCATTATCTTGAGGAATAAATTGTTAGGTCTAATTTATTAAAATCGTCAAAAGTGAAGGGCACCGTTTTGGTCAGTTTCAGAGGCATTCTCTGGGTCCCAACAGACATCATAACGTCCCCCTTACTGGTGCTTTCACAAATAGTGAGATGCACAACTCAGAGGAGAATGTCAAGCAACATACAAAGTGTACAGAAACAGGACTTTCCTCCCCGTGACCAAAGACCATTTCTCCAGTATTATTAGTTCATACAATACTTCTACTTCCTGCATCATTTCAGGATCATAATCCAATGCAAGCGTCTTCAGCTTCAGCAGAGGAAATCGACCAAGAAGGTTAGGACACAAGAGAAAGTAAACTTACTGAACTTACATTATTGTGAGGATAAGATATGATATGACAGGATTGGAGAGGAGGAGGGGAGATGATAAGATGGGAGAGGAAAGGAAAGGAGGAGAGGAGAGGAGATTATATGATCGGAAAGAAGAGGCGAGGAGGGGAGATGATATGATAGGAAAGGGGGAGAGGAGAGGAGACAAGGGGAGGATAGATGAAAGGAGGAGGAGGGGAGATGATATGATAGGAGAGGAGAGAATAGAAGAGAGGAGAGGAGGATTTATAACCACACTGAGGTGAGTCAGACAGATCATCAAATACTCAGACAGCCAGTCAGAGAATTGGAGTCAATGAAAGAGACTGATGCCTGTCTGGGACCTGTGAGGCAGCCAAATACTCACTTACACACACACACACACACACACACACACACACTTCCCTCATGTTGTGTCTCGGGCAGAGAACCATTCCACACCTTCAGAACAACAGGAAGGGAGCTCTCAGCATGTGAGACAGCAGCAACAGCGAGCTCACGTGACCACAAGAAA